AATTTATATAATATATACACGATTACTAACACAAGTTTTTGGGAAATCAAGATATTTATAGGAATACACAATCACAACTAAAACTTAAAAAAAAAAAACGGAAAAGCATATCATAAGTAGTTTTCGAATTGGGTTGTTTTTTGGGAAATTCGTTAGTTAGTCTTTTGATATTTCATCTTCAATCTTTTAGATGGCTCCATCTTGTCCTTTGTATCAAGCAAAAATGATAAAATCCTTCCCAACAGCTGTTCCACCATGATGACCTTGTCTCAACCCCGCCCTCACCAGAGGCTAACAAAGGCTGCAAACACACACACATCCAATTGTCAAAACATGATCAGATTACTAACAATCTTCCTTCCTCGTAAGAGACAATTTGAGTTCTTGCTTAAATTATGTGACCTGATTGTCTGTGGATACGAGAAGGTCTCGGCTTGCCACGGTGCTGCTTGGTGCTCCTCCAACAACGAGCTTTAAGGAAACTTGGGTTAGTTTTTTGACACAAAAGAAAAAACATGTAAAAGGGTGTGACCAAGTACCAACCTCTGTCTTGGCCGTTTCAGTGGAGGCTGCAGCTTCGTTCTTGATTTCTTTGGCTTCGTTTTGAGCAGAAGAAGTTGTCGCCTTGTCTAAGAAAGCTGCCATTTTTATCTTATGTGTTGGAATATTATTGTGTCAATAGAGAAACAGAGATTTTATATATGATGAAGAATAAGTAATAAGAAGAGGAATCATTTTGGAATGTGAAAACGATGTGAACTGTTAAAGATGGCTGTTTCAACGCTATAGGCAACGAAACAATCACACAACTATTGAGAATCTCCAAACGTTACTTACTTTATCAAGCTATTGATTTTGCTTCACAAGAAATTTATTACCATCATTGTTTTGTTGTTTATATATACCAAACAAAGAAAAGAATGAATTGAAAAAATATATATTTTTTAAATGTTTGATTAAAGCCCTCATTTAATCCAAACTCAAAGTTTTTTTTTTTTAAATAATCCAAACTCAAAGTTGAACCAAAGCTAGTATCTATT